TACTGTCTGTCCAGGGAACTCTCATCTGTCCAAGATAAATATCCTCATTTTAATATTGACTATTAAAGGAGAATGTGATTCCACTCCACACCTCAAATCATGCCAACATCCACACAGTCCAGGATCGATTGAGTTATTGAGGGGGCGTTTATTCAAATTAGAAGGGGGCGCTTATTCAAACGGGGCACTTAAGGAAATTTTCACGTTAGAAGGGGCGTTTATTCGAGAGGGCGCTTATTCGTGCGAGTACGGTATATATGAAATTCTAAACGCTGACAGAATGTTATTTCTTCTCACTTCATGAAGACTAAAGATTCAAGTATTTTTGATCCATACGAAAGACCATAAAATAAAAATTACAATTAACAAAATAATATAAGAAATGAGTTGGTTGAATTTTCTGAATGTATATACATGTGTGGCTCACCCCTGACACATGGCAGGGGTATTGCACCTTTTATTTGGCTCTGACAATCATCATCAATAAATTATTATTACAAAGAATGTATAAAGTATAAATATTTATATAAAGTAGCATTGTAAATTAAATTATTCTTTTAAAGGGGGGTGCGGGGATGAGACAAGTGGCCATATATTGCTTATTTAACCTTTCCTGAGTTCAGGAAAAATACTTAAAAAATTCAAAATGTTGAGATGTAAGGATAATTACAGAAACAAAACATGATATGATGAGACAGGAAAATCAGGTGAAAACGAGGCTGATCACTTTTTTCAGTAGGTTGGCAGCATTTTCTAACCAACTCATTAATATTCAAGACAAGTCTGTCAATTAATTTTTGGCGAGCAGCTGATCGAAAAATCGTCCCGACGATCGAGCGACTAGCCTAGATACTGTACAGTACACTAGTATGAAGTCGTGAGTTTTTGTGATCGTTTACGTGAGCAGTTACAGAGAGACGGTTTAGTCAACGTCAATTCAACCATGGAGGAATAATAATTAAATTGAATTAATTAACGTATATCAGTCCGATGACTTGAATTGTTTGTTTACAATTAGGCCTACACCTATGCCTAGGATTAGCACAGTCAGTGTCTACCCAGCAGCAGTAGCGCACTCCTGTCCGGGACACTGCTCCAGTCCCGCAGCAGGTGAGTTCGCACGCAGCCTTATCCAGCTGACGGTAAAGATAGTAGGTTTCTACTACTAGCCTAGCCTAGACTTGTCATGCCATGCCATCTTTGTCACATTAATTGTGCTAGTGCATTTTTTTTTCATAATAATATACCTAGGCCCCTAGGCCTACTAATAATAGTATACTATAGGCCTGGTCCTATGAAAAACTGTCTAGGCCTAAATGTCTAAAAAATGCACTGTCTAAATAAAGGTGATGTGCTATAACACTACAGTACAG